ATGTATAAAACTCCGAGGCAATAGGCAAGGATTGCCTAGGTACACTTGTAAACCTGGAAGTGCACTGCTATTTTTCAGGATTAATTCATTTCAGAGTGGTAAGCACAGTTATCTGGAATTTTCTATAAAATAGCAAATATAAAATTTTTGCGTTCAGTTCTACTTTAACTTCATAGCGGGTCACTGACCTGGAGCAAATATGTAAGTTTGAAATACTGAATTCATTGGCTGCATGCTTGTTTTAAGTCAGCAAATCATTCAGTAGTAAAATATCAGGATGACAGACACAAAGCTTGTACTTTTTGAAATGGGGTTGCAATGGTAGCTTCCATATTTCTGTCCTAACATGGCCAGGTTTTGGATGGACTTTACACTTTTTTATATTATATTTTGCCAACTTTGTGATAGTCAGTAGAATGTATACTGAAAACTAGAAGTTTAGTGTAGCAAATACTTCTGAGTTGGCTTTTTTATTATATTTAGAAAGCATTTACCAATTCTATATGTATTGTTAGTATTTGTGCAGATTCCAACTGCAAAGTGCTTTCAGATGCATTCAGTTTACATTTTAGGCCAACCTGAGACATATGTGAGTTCCCGCACAGGTGCCTCCACTCTGCTTTTGATGTCATAAGCTGCATGTTCCTTCTCATTGACCTGTATGGTGAGAAAATTAGTTTTGACACAGATGACCTTATAAACGTGTCCCAAAGACAACCTGATACGTCAGTTTCTTCATAATTAAACACTGCATGCTTAACTTCTGCTGGGCTGTATTGGGTTCACCTTTACTTAGGCCATGCAAGTGTGACACCAATAAGGAGCTAATATAGCTTGGTGATAGGTAACAGCAGCACTTTCCTGTCCAAGAGAAGCACTTTACACCAGATTGCCAGACATTGGCATAGCACTCGGATTAATACTACTTTGTGTGATTGTCTATATAACCATACTGCATCCTAGTTGTTTGCAGTTTGACAAGGTTATTCTTATAACACAACCTTTTTCTGCAGATTAATACAATTGATATTGTAGTTTTAAAGCCATTTTTCTCTATTGTACATCCCAGGGTATCGCCATCTCCATTACGACAGGGTTTTGCTGCCACCTTGAGGTAATTGAACCCTGGCAAAAAAGACAGAAAATCCTTTCCTAAGCATAGCCTCTCCCCATTGGGTAAAGCTTCAGTTTTTTTTTTGCTAGTATGTTAGGTAGTGTGTGTGCAGTCTCTGCACAAAAAGTAGCTAGCTTTTCAGTTATTCCATCAGGCACTAGGAGACTAGCTATTTGCGGATCCATTTTCCTGTGGCTTTTCTACTCCCAGAGGCATGTTACCTGGACCTCATTATGGACATGCGGGGATGTCTTGTAATGTAGCCGTTCTGCAAAGCAGGGAGCCCCAAAAGTCCCTGAAGGCCCTTGTGGCATTGGCCACTATAATGGGTGGATACTGGACCCCCTAGGGGACCCTGTGGCATGGGCTAGTGAGTGCCTCAGGGTAGTCCCAGCTGTGAGATTTTATCTTGGTTGACTATGCTGCAGGTTGAGCGGTGGCCATCTTGAAATCCCACATATGAACAGCAGTATGCACCCTTGTGGGACTGCAGGTCACAGCAAGACAGCTCATAAGTGGGACTACAGGTTGCAGCAGTAGCAGTTACCTTGTAGGACTACAGGTCTCTGCAGACCAATTGTGAGACTACAGGTCGCAGCAGAGAATTTCCTTCTTTGTGGGACTACAGGTCGCAGCAAGTATTAGGAGACCACACAACTGCCAGGAGGGCACCCTGGCAGATTTAGTAGGAAATCTCCTGCGGTATCCAACGCACTGGTGCTTATTGGCATATTGCCCTCTAGACTGACTTAGGCTGCTTCTCCCAGCTAGGGTCACGGGTTTATTTTAAACCCTAAAGGCCTTTGTGAGTTTTCTTGCGAAAGTTGTCCGGACTAATTTGAAGTTACCACTTCCCAAATCCAAAAGTTAAAGGATTTGGAACATGACATTCACCACAACATCCTCAATCCTTTCCAATACATCCTCATTTAAAGGATGTTTTGTACGTTGACTGGGCTCACCCTGACAAGGTGTTCTGGCAAAAATGTTTGCTCAGCAAAACCCTATGGAGAGTGAGTTCACTAAGAAATGGAGAATGCCTTCTGTATATGTGGCAGTTTATCTCATTAAGACCTCACATGTCCAGAACACATGCGCAGGATTTTATGGCTGAAGTATTGGTAAGCGAAAATACCATGCAAGAAGCAAATGGATTGTTTACCTTTACAAGAGAACCTTTGTTTTGGCTCTGCCTTGGACCATCCAGAAGGTAACTGTGGGAAAGAGAACTCTGTTATCTCATGAAAAGGAGGCAAAGCCACAGTTCAAAAACCAATTGGTCCTTCTACGTCCAAGAAGCATTCTTTTTGCTTCTCTCAAGTCTCAGGCTTTAAGCCAAAACCCCAGTTCTAATTCTGCAAGAAGTCATGGACTCCAAAGCCCTCTAAGTCGGGGAACATTTACTCTTCACGATGAAGTGGTGTACCAACTCGCTTGAGTTTGGGGGGGGGGGGGGATCACTTGCAGGCCAAAGGGAGATTGCAAATGAAAGGGTCCATGACATATTGGATGGCAGCTATGACCTGGAATTTCAGTGCCTTCCCACGCCGCTCTTCTTGCTTTCAAATTTTTCTTTGAATCGACAAAAAGGCTTGCTTTTTTGTAAGCTCTCGATCATCTTCTGTTTGATCATTCTGGTTCCAGAGGGCAAAAGGTTTTTTAGTTTCTACTGGAATGTCTTCATGGTTCCCAAACTGAATTACAGTGTTTATCCCATCTTGGACCTCAAGAGACTCAACAAGTTTCAATGGGTGTAGATGTTCTGGGAGGATTTAGTTTGATCAGTGGTGGCCTCTTTCCTGGCAGCAGTGGATTTCAAAGATGCTACCTGCATGTTCCACGCTTTCCATTTCACCAAAGGTTTATGCAGTTTGCAGTAGGGCTAGCACTGTCAGTTTTGTGGCCCTGTCTTTCAGCTTGTCCAGTGCTTCCAGATCATCAAGGTCCTGACTCAGCTCTTGTGTTCCCTCTGGTATCCCTGTTATTTAGGGTACATGGACTGCTTACAATCTGCGGGAACAATCTGCTTTGCTTCTGGAGACAAATGTGTCTCACGTGGTGCACATTGTGGGTTGAGAATAAGGCTGATTTCTGTAAATTCAGAACCCATCCAAACCTCTCCAAAGGTTGGAATATTTGGGCTTTCCCTGCATACTGTTCAGGAGGAGTAGAGTGCGCTTCCCTCCAGACAAATGTCTTTCTCTAAGGACTCAGGTGGACTTTTCCTAAACGCGAACAAATCCCTCAATTCACCTTTGCATTAGGTTTCTGAGAAAGATGGTAGTCCTTTTCCCAGTTTTATTTCAGGTCCCTCCAACCGAATGTTGTGGCATCATGGAATAGGAGGACACAGTCATTAGATTCCCCAGTGCCGTTACTCCCCAACATGAGACTGTCTCTGGACTGTTGGATCTGTTCACGGATGTTGGAAATGTCCTGGAGGGTCCTGATGGCAAACTCTAGCCTGCTGAGCTGGGGTGGAGTTCTGGACAAATTCCTGGTCACCAGAGGAGAGGTCATTGCCCATCAATAACCTGTAATTAAAGGCAATTTTTGTCTTGCCCTGCTACTCTACAGTGCAGTCTCAGAGCCTCCCTGTAAGGGTGTATATACGGTCTTGAGCCAATGAGGAGAGAGCTGCGGCTCTCATGCACGTCCCTGGATCGAGATGGGGCTCAGGAAAGTATGGGGGGGGGGGGCTGAGTGGGAAGGTTTTTAGCTTAATGCACAGAATGCATTAAGGTGAAAAACCTTCTGCCTTCTACCACTTTAAGTACAATCAGGGGTCAAATTTCCACCTTGGTTGTCCATTTTCAGAGAGAGATTGCTTCACATTCCTTGGTGGTTTGTGCAAGGCGTCACACATAGTTCTACCAGTCAAGACTCCGTAGGACTACAGTTTATTTTTTTTCTATATTGCAGAAATCTCCATATGAATCGACACAGGTTATTTTTCTGGTTGCCATTACTTGGTGGTTCTACAGCTGTCATTTTTACCAAGGTGGTTTCTTTGTTCTATCTCAACCAGTGTTGCCATCTTTTTTGTCCTAAACCTCAGATGCCAGGGGAAAAGGCACTTGACACCTTGATTATGATTTGTTCTTTTAGGGGAAAAGGCACTTGACACCTTGGATATGATTTGTGCTTTTAGGTGTTACTTGTAGCTGACTGCTTTAGTTCATCAGTCTTATTCCCTCTTTGCTTTTTGAAAGCTGGGTCATGCAGCTTCCAAATATACCATCTCTCGATGGATCCATTGAATTATATCTTTATCCTTAGAGTCTAAAAGGAAAAAGACCACTAACTTTGGTAATTTTTCATTCTACCAGGAGGGTCGGTGTCTCCTGAACTATTCATTATCAGACTTCGGTAGCTAAGGTTTGCAAAGCTGCTACCTGGCCATCTGTTCATACTTCTTTTAAGTTTTACAAAGTGGATGTTCAAACTGCTGAGAACACTACCTGTGGTCAGTGGGTTTTAGTTGGTTTGCTGAGGCCTGTTCCTGAGTTGACCTCTCCTCATATTCAGTGCTTTTGGAAATCCCTTTTGTAATGGAAATAAAGACACCCTGTGTCCTGGGATACATCACAGGACACGGGATTCCACCCCTCTGTTTTTGTGGTTTGCTACAAAAGCTTAAGCCTTGCCTTACAGGGAGGGGCTATGCCTAGGATGGGATTTTTTGTTTTTTTACCCTTCAATGTCCAATTATCTAAAGTTAGCAGCATTACCCTATTGTAATGGAGATGAAGATACCCTGTGTCCTTTGATGTACTCCAAACAAAAGGATTTTACAGGTAAGACAAAAACCCAGTTTTTCTTAACCAATAGCAAAAGATCCCACTCTGTGTTCAAGAAGGTAATGGTGTATTTTGTTTTCCAATAGGTTTGTGGTGGAGACAAGCCATACATCGCTCCTGCAGACCTAGAGAGGAAGCATTTAGATGCAAAGGATGTGTGTGTAAAACAGTTCCGCTCAGTAAAGAAGATGGGTGGAGAGGAGTTTTGTCATCGGTACCAGGAACAGCTGGAGGCTGAGTTAGAAGAATCCTATGCAAACTTCATGAAACACAATGATGGCAAAAACATCTTCTATGCTGCACGCACCCCTGCCACTTTGTTTGCTGTCATGTTTGCCATGTACATTATCTCAGGAGTAACTGGTTTCATTGGCCTAAACTCTATAGCAAACATTTGTAACCTGATTATGGGACTAGCACTACTGTCCTTCTGCACCTGGGCTTATGTGAAGTACTCCGGAGAATTTCGGGATCTCGGAACCTTAATAGATCAGATTGCTGAAATTATATGGGAGCAGGTTAGTATCTCCAGCTGTATTTCTATTTTATAGTTGTTTAGTAAGTGCTGTTACTCAAATGTTAACTAAAAAGACTTCCTGATTATTTTTTTTAATTATTTTTTTATTTATTTTTTTTGCTCCTAAGTTTCTACATAGGAAATGTTTCTTCTATTTAATTTGTATTGTCCCTGGTTACTTTATCTGTGTTCAATGTCCACATAGTCATGTCATATTTTTGTTGTAAAGGTCATTAATTCTATTAGTGCTTCGAGTGAGTGAGTTAGGATTCATGTATACACATGAATTGTGACTCCAGCGAAGGTATAGTCAATTCAAAATATCATTAGGATCATTTGCTGCAGGATGCAATATAGAGTTAAATGGTGTGACTTTAAAACTAATTTCAGGAACGTATTAATTTCTCTCTCGTTCATTGTAGGACACTGCTGAGATCTTGATCTAACGATTGAGTTATACCGCCACCTCCTTGAACGGGACTCTAGGCACAAAACAAAAAAACAGCTTAGAGCCGGCCTCTGATGCTGGTCAAACCCCCCAGCTGCTAGAGGGAGCTCAGGTTTTGGCTTAATGTTGAGTACAGACTTTAAGGTTTTTGTTGGAAATCTTAGTTTTCTGGGTTTTTTTTTTTTGCAGGGATTTTTAATAAAAATGTGTCTTAAGCCTGGCAGATAGGCAGAATAATACACATCTTTGTAGTCCCTTCAGCTCAGCCATCAAGCACATGCTACATGCAGGGTCAGCTGTGACAGCCTTATACTGAATTCACAGGCAGCCTGTGAGTGTTCTTCACAGGGGCCACATATGACCAATCAGCCCTGGGTAGTCCGCGCTCCCCTTCTGACAGAAAGGTGGCCTGTCATGGGAAAGGTATACCCCTCTCTTCTTAGAATATGTTGAGTAATCACACCCTTGTTGCCTGCTGGACCCAAATGCTGCGACAGCCATGTTCCCTAAGGCTTTGCCCTTCTAGGGCACCATTTTCACCCACATTCTGCACATTTCTGGAAGAGAAATTGATGTGAGGAGAGACTCTGTTGTCTGCACTACCTACAGGTGTCATTGTGCAGCAAGCTAAACTGCTAGTTAGCTGGGTGATTACTGCCTTTGCTGTGCAACACTCAGGGGCAGCATGGTGGCAAGAAGATAATGGCTAGCAGCAAGTTTGTTGGGAACCTTTTTCTTCCTGGTCATGGTGGCATTTTAGAATCTGTATAGCAACAATGGTGCCCTCCCCATGGTCACCTTAAACCTGTTTTTAATGATGTCTTCTGCCTGATTATCTATATCTTCAGAGTTCCCTGGGCTGCTTTGGCTGTGGCCCTTTCCTCAGCTTCACTCCAGGAGGATTTTCCCACACTTGTGCAGACTTTCATGCCACTTAACACCCTGCTTTACTAATCCTGATTGCAGAGGTTGTATTTATACCCCCCCATAATTTATCCAGCATTGACAAGGTTCTGTCCTTGTTCAGACTGACAGCTCAGCCTTGCAGGTTTTACCAGCACTATCCTCAAATTTAGGATCCCTGATGCCATTTAAAAAAAAATCTTCCAGTACTTCCATGTTTTCCTTTCACCCTCCCTTCAGAGAGTTGAAGAACCTTGCTAGTTTTCCTCTTGATAAGTAGCGGATTGTGCCCATTGAGGTGGCCTGTCTTAAATGTTGGCTGCCACAACTGTGGATCCGGCAAGGGCCTATACCTGCTATAGCCCTTTTCTGTGGGGAAGACCCCGCATTCAAGTGATGGGGTGTGCCCTTGATGACCATGTTTCTCTGGACAGGTTCCATCGTGCAACCTGCCTTGGCAGTGATATTTGCCTGTCAGATTTTCACTGTCTGGGTTCAGGCCTTCAGAAAAGACCTGTTAGCAGTGCAAGACTATTCCCAGTTGCTGGAGCTTTTGGAGCCACTGAGGGTAAAAGTACATGCTTACACCAGCAGAATAAGCCTATGACTTTGCCTTTAAATATCTCTGTTTGTTGTTGCAGGTTCAGTGGTGACCCTACTGTATGGTTTTTCTTCTGCATCCTTGGGTTCGCCAGGTGCTCACTCCTGTACTATTACGGATTGGATTTAGGGCATCCCCATCTTTGGGTTATCTGGGCAACCTCCATCTGGGAAAATTAACCATTTCAGACCCTGCAGGAGCTGACTCTTTGATTGGAATCTTTGTGTCTTACCTTGAATAGAGGTCTTTTCTCCCCAAGAAAGTTTTCATCTTTTTGTTTGCAAATTTTTGTACGCTTTTAGTCCTGTTCTATAGCAGATGGTGGACACCATTCATGTCAGTCCTATATGCCCAGCTTCCACTATAGTCTACACAGGATACTTCTGTCATTCCTGGGGCTAAATCAGCCCACTCTTTAATTAATTGCTTCATTGGGCCCCAAGGACCATGTTGTTCCTGGCCGGATGACTCTGAAATCCTGTCATGGAGTACGAGATGGCCTTTTTCCGATCTCAGAAAATCCTCATGATCAGGTTGGAGAGGGGTTCTGGTCACCCCCAGTGTAGGGAACTTTAATGGATGGTGGTGGAATCGCCTCTTCCAATAATTATCACAAAGCTTTGGGTGCTTTGGTTGTCTCTACACAGCTGGATGTTTCAACTGGCTGGTTATCCGCCCAGTTTTTGGTTTGGCCATGCCACAGTGGTGGCCTACCTCAGTTGTCTGGAGGTAAATCCTGTAACTTAGCATGTTCAGCCTTAGTTACCATCTATGTCCTAGGCATTGTTGATGGTTGGAAGATTGCATCAGCTTGGCAGCACCTAGAATCCAGGGATTGGACCCTATACATGCTGGTGTTCTCAAACCTGTTTCTAGGTGGGAAATACCAGATATTTGGACATTCTGCCCTTCAGGTTTAGCATCTCACCCAACAGGTTATCTCTACATACAGGCATTTTTAGTAGTTATGTGAATATTCCGGTAGCTCAGAAGGATTGCCACAGCTTGTTCTATGTCCTTCTTTCTCCTGTACCCCTCACTTATCTGCTCCACAGGGTACAGTTATGTAGGGCTTCTAGAGGTAGTCTAGCTGCTGTTTGGCCCAGGTGGATTTGGTGTTCTGGCTTGATCAGGCTCCTGACTGAGACTCTATGGTTCTTCCTGAATTACCTGTTCGGAGTCCCAAGAACCGATTAATGCCTTTCTTTGCCTTACAGGCTTGGTTGTTAGAGCCCAGGTCTTTGAAGATGAGGCTTGTTTTGACTTGTGATTCCCATGCTGTTGAAAGATAGAAATCTGCTTCCTCTGGATCTGCTATTGCTTTGGATGACCTATATTGCTTGGTGAGGAAAGGATGACCTATATTGCTTGGTGAGCAAAGGAACCTCTGATAATGCTCCATGGGAAAAACCTGACCTTATAGTAGAATTTCAGCATAAACCTATATGGTCTTAAATCTCTCCTCCTACCTATGCTGACTAACTTATGTAAAAAGTATGTATATCAGGGTTGTGGAAATTTTTGAAAAAACTACTTGTCCAAGGGACTAAATCGGTGTCCCAATCTACTTGTCCAGATAAATTTTTTTTTTTTCTTTTTTTAACCAAAACCGTATTTAAATTGGAGGAGATATTAGGAATGTTTTAATAACAAAAGTGGTTTTATGGCGACTTAAACGTTTAATATTTTTAACATGGCGCTGTTTATCTCCTCCTCCCCACCCTGCCTGTCTCCAACACCACACCCGGGAACTAGCAGGGAGACCTTGCAGTGTAATGAGCACTGATTGGGTGCTTGTCAGGAAAGGGGAGTGTCGGGCTTATCCTTTATCCCTTTCGCTGCCAAAGCCATTTTTGCATTTTTTGCACAAGATTTAGAGAAAATCATTTTAGGCCTGAAGATCACACAAAACCCCCAAACATATATTTTCTGAAATCGGAGACCCTAGAAAATAAAATAGTGGTAGTTCCAATTTTTTATGTTGCATGATATTACCACAAAATTTCAGTAAAATATACAAGTTAGTTAATTTTAGGGCACAAAAATAGCAATAAATTACATTATTTTTTTATAAAATTTAAAAGAGATGAGGCTGCAGCAAGTAAATAGATATCCAGCTTGTCAAATCTTAAATTTGCGTCCACTCGTGAAATGGTGACGAACTTCAGTACCCTATATTTTCTGTAGGTGACACATTTAAAGCCCCTTCTAGGTAATTAGTATAGTGTTATGGAGGAGGTCTGGTGCTGGAATTATTGCTCTCACTCTGGCGTGCGTGGCGATATGTAACGTGTAGCACAATTGACTTTTTCATGCGCAGGCGCCCCAGCGTGTGCTTTTACGTTTGTATGTTCGTATATGTGGGGGGCGGGTGGGCTCATTTTTTTTTTTTTTTGGGGGGGATGTTATGTGCTTGGGTTTAACTTTAATTTTTTACAATCTTTCCCGGAATCTCTCAGCAGGGACCCGGAAGTGACATCATAACGTCACTTCCGGGTCAGGAGAAGAAGGGGAGGGGAGTGGAAGTGTCTGCTCTCCTTCCTCCCCTCTAGCCGCTGACGGTGAGCTTGTAATGGGCCGCAGAGCTTGGGAGACAGTGGGTGTGGGGGGGGGGGGGGGGCGAAGAGGCTGGCACTCTCTGGAAGCAATCGGCGGCAGCACTGCCGCCCGAATGCTTCAACCTGACAGGGGAACCCTGCTGCTTGCCCGCAGCAGGGCTTAATGTAAAAAATAAACACTACCTGCCCTGCACCCCGGAACTACATGTCTCGGACGTCGGGCGATAGGAATTCAACATCCCTGTATATACTTGCCTATTTTTGGCCTGCTCCTGTCTGGTCAAATGATCCAGCTATCCTGTGTCAGCCAATGGCAGCTGCAGAGGAGAGGAGGGAGTGCTGACAACAGCAGGACATGGAGACCTATGGGTGACATCATGGCTCCAGGCTTTCCAGCCATGGTCAAGCACTCTGTCCTCTCCCCTGCAGCCACCACTGGCTGACACATTGGGTCATGTGACTGAACCAGACATCTTTGTTACACAGGTTAG